TGTTGTATTTTTCTTTCTGTTTTTTAAAGGTAATAATGTTTAATAAAAATTATATTTAAAAAAGAAAAGAAACATATATTACAAAAGTTAAAGAGAAAATTAAATAAAGTATCCAAAAATAAACCCAATTAATATTAACAATAAAAATTTAAAAATTAGATTAAAATTAACAATTAAATTAATTATTATTTTATTCTGTTCGGGCCAGGCCGGCTTTACTGGAAAAGCCAACTTTTTAGGGTGTATTGGAATGACCAGAGGTCGGGGATTATACAAAGCTCCGGGGGCAGCTCATTCCGGAGGGAAGGTGCTCCTACAGAGAAGGCTCTCCCTCTGGGGGTCGCTACTGACACTGTCTAGCCGGCGGCACCCTGAGGAAGCCAACTCTGTGGGATCGCACGGGACGGTGGGAGGCTACTGGTGGCAGTAGGTGGTCTCACAGGTACATTGGGCCAAAGTCATGGAGGGCTTTAAAGGTCATAATTAGTACCTTGAATCGCACCCGGAAACAACTGACAACCAGTGCAGGCCGCCTAAAAGGGATGTAACATGGGAGCACCTAGGTACACCCATGATAACCTGTGTGGCTGCATTCTGGACCAGCTGTGATGTACTAACCCAGTAAGAGCAGTGTAGTATCCACTGGCTGTATATTTATCAGCCATAATGTCATCAGAACATTGGAACAGACATGCATATAAATAGTGTTCAATGTATATTTGTTTTATATGCATAATGTATAATCTAAATTTTATAATTTCATGATTTTATTTCAGGTTGGGGTATGAATTGATAAAATAAAAAATAAAAAATAACAACTTATGTATGCTTGTAGAGAAATGGTTTTTAAAACTTTTTCATGTCAAGACCCAAGGCGCTAAACTGTAGTGTCATATGTCTCATAAATGGGATTTCCAAGGTGAAAATTGGAAGGCCCATGGCCTCCTAGACTGAGTGGACTCAGGACAAGAAATCACGATGAAGTCCTGGCTGTGCATCTTCACAGCACTTTCTATCATTTACTTGTGGTTCATTGATGTGGCACCCCTGAGGACTTTTCACAGGACACTAATATGGTCCTAACAGTGGTTGAAAACCGCTGCTGTAAGAGAGTGCTTGTTGAGAATACTTACTTCTTGTGAGTGCAATGAGAGGGACCTGTAGGCA